TATATATATATATATAATTATAATGTTAATGAACCATGACCCATACTTAAGTGTTATATATAATGGCCGGAAACTGATTATATTTAAAAAAAAAAATAATTTTGAGAATATATTGAGATTTGAAAGCATAACATTCTATTTTAAATTGTTATACTTAAGTGTTATATAATGTCTGGAAAGTAATTATATTCTAAAAAAAATTAATTTTGAAAATATATTGAGATTTGAAAACATAATATTCTATTTAAAATTATTATTTTAAGTGATTTGACATTTATATTCTTTAGTTAATAATAAATTTTAATTATTACCTTAAACATAAAATCTCGAATATATTTTTTTATCTCTATAAGAACTATAATATGAAATTAAAGAAGGAGTCATACATCTTTCTTGTTAAAGATTTTTTTAAAATTAAAAAGCTCCCTTCCGTACATGAAGGCTCGATTTCTTTCGTACATATCGAGATTATGAATAAAATCAAATTCTAATTGATAACTAAAAAATGGATAAAGAAGGATCTCAAAATGAAATATGCAACTATTTATATTTCCAATCTTTCATAGGTGTTCATGACACTATCACACTAACTCACTCTCGTTTAAAGGATCTTTTTACATGATTAAATTTAAGAAATTAGACATGATATGATTTGGTTACAAGTTAAGGTTATTTTTTCTTTGTCTCAAATTCCAACTCAGTCAAATGTCATATTTTCTATTTAGAACTTATAATTCTCTAAACAATTAATTATGCAATAATGTTACATTTTCTTGATTTAATAAATAATGTATTGTCTAGCATATATTATATTTATATTAATACATTATTTATTTTAACAAATATATTATAAAATATATTTTAAGTTGGATTGACTCTATCTTATCCCATATGTTTGGGATCTTAATTTGGTTAGACTTAGATTAATATATAAAAATTGTCTTTATCAAAATTTTGAACAATGCAGGAGCTATAAACCATCTTAACGCATCCCACGAGCACTCATAATTGAATATTATAGAATAACTCATCTTAATTACTTCAAGCACTTTTATTACTCCCCTTTTAATTTTTGATGAAATTTGTTATCAAGGCCTAAATATTGAATACTATAAATAAGACCTTTGGCACAACTTTCATAAGGAGTTTGCTAGTTATTATTTTGATGACATGTGAGCAAGGTTTATAAATTTAAAAATAAAAAGAAGAAAAAAAAGAAGAAGAAAGAAGACATGCTCATGAATCAAGAGTCAATTAATTCAATGCACTTCCAATGTTCGTGTGAGATGGGATTGCAAGTCAATAGTCATTGGGATGATTTGAGATTAGAAAGACCAAAATTGAGTTGGGAGAAACTTCAGAGTTCCCTATTAATTATTTTAAATATAAATCAGTTGTAAGTTGTTATTTTTTGATATTCAACATCAACGAAAGACATTGCAATTGTTCCTTCGACCCCATGCAATTAAGGAATCGTCCAAGAATACTTAGAATACACAAAAACTAGTGTTTGATCGCCTTGTATTCAAGTTGCTACACCAATATGCATGTGTAATCTACATGGGTGACATAACTTCTTAAAAACTTGATCATCAAGTAATAACTATGGAAATAGTTTGATACCTCCGTGCTTAATACAAACAAATTTATGTTCTACCGTATCGGTCTTTCCTCTCAACAAATGTTACTTATTTCCCTTCACATTATCTTGAAAAGTTATTCTTTCACTTTGACAATAAGTATGATAATCTCTTAAGTTCACAATTCATTTTTTTTTTCCCGATGTGGTCATGTGACCATTTAAATAATTCACGTGCATTTATTTATTTACATTATTTAAATATAAAAAATAATTTATGCATTCATAACGTAAAAAGATATTATAATGTCATCTGATCACAAATTATTACGTATATATAATAAGTTTATTGAGTTTTACGGTTATTATTTTAAAACTCATACTTATCATTATTTATCTTTAAATTAGACTCAGTTATTTTAATTAAAGTCTTAGATCATAATTTTGTGAATTAAAAAAAAAAGTGGTTGAGAGGTAATATTCTATTGAAGATAACAAACTAAGTTTCTTGACAAAGAAATTCAATAAATATTTTGTACCATTAACATGGACATGGTTATTGAAATAATAATTACTTGTTTATATAAAATTAATTATTTTACATTGTAAGAGCATAAAATTATGCTTTTAAAATATAATTTATAAATAGTATAATATATGTATTAATAGAGTAAATAATTGTTACACTATCATTTAATTACAAATTATTATATACATATATTTGTTGGTTTTTATAATAGTCACCTTACGAGTCATAACAACTAGAGGTAGATACATGTTTAAATCAATTTGATGATCTAATGAA